ATTGTAATGGGGGAGGGACACATGAGGGCTTCAAAAGTATGTGCAATATCCTAGTTCTTAAAATGAGTGGTTGGCAGATGGGTATTCGCTTTACGATTCTTTATACGTACATTAAAAGCGTATGTGTGTGCTGGTTACTTCCTCCAGGGAGATTCTACCAGGCAGGGCTTAGCACAACTAGGAATTCCCTGGTCAAAGTCAGGGAATTTCAAGATTTTTCAGCCAGTGGTTGGGCAAGGAGTCATCACTCTCGTCCCCTCCCTTGAGGTTCCGAGGAGCCTCAGAACAGACGTTCAACCTCTGGAATCCCCCAGAAAAAAGGCTCATAGGGCAGCTTCTCCTTTCTCAGAGAGGACAGAGTGGAGATCTAGGGGGATCCCCAGCCCCAACCAGCTGGCTCGAGGTCACATCCTGACATTTCAGTTCTGTTCCCATTCATGTGTCTCAGCTGAGCAACTGTCATGCTTGTGGCACTCTTGGGGGAAGGGAAGAATTGAATGAAGTGATAAGACCCACACCCTAAAGAATCCAGGATGGTAAACTCCCTGGCTTTTTGTTTTTACAAACTAACAATATTGTTTAATGTAAATACTGACATTGTGCTGCCACCATTTTATTTTGTGAACTAAGAGAGGTAGAAAACAATTGCCACCTACTGTCCTCCTATTCCATAAGTAAGGGCTAATTTAATACTCCAGTAATGAAATAAAGGCATGCATGCTTTTAGATCAGAGGAATTTCCACTGAATACATTTAGCTTTATGAAAATCTCACTACATTTGTGGCTCTGGTTTCATCATTGTGAGGTGAAGCAGTTGAAATTTGGGTCACAAAGAGCCAGTCAGAAGAGCATCTGGGAGGCACTAATACAGGGGACACCCAGGTGTCTGTGACACTCAGGGCAGGCAGACAGGTCATTCGGCATGCCCACGCACACACGCCATGCTCACCCTTTCTGATGAGTGGCCACAAGCGTTCACACACACGCTTCTCCCCCAGGGGCTCCCAGGTTGGAACACCTCCCCTGACTGCCAGGCAAGGCCATACCTCTCTCCTGAACCCAGAGCAAAGGGCCAGGCTCACCCAGCCTGTGCCAACCAATGAGAGAGGCCAGTGGTTGGCACTGGAGCCAGTTGGGGTGCTGACTTGAGGCCAGAGATGGGCAGCCTGTTCGGGTCCCTGGGCCTTTGCCTCTGGCCAGGAACCAAAGCCCTGTCAATGTCCAATTTTCTCAGACTGGGAGTCTAGGGACCTACTTCCTAGTTCCAGTTAGGTTTGTGACCTTGAGCAAGTCACTCTCCCTCTCTGGTCCTTCAGACATTGACCACAGTGCTCTAGGCCAGTGCTGTGAGGTTTTCGAGGCTCACCCTGCTCAGCCTTGGTCTCAGGGGACCCACAGGCCAGCCTAGAAGTGTATCTTGGAAGGAAGAGAAAACCCTTGTCCCTCATCTTTAATGAAGGACCCGCAGGCAGACAAGCTTTGGGGATGTCTGAGGAAAGAGACCTGATGGGGGTCAGGAGAAGAGGCTGCCATTAGCACTGGTCCCAGCGAACTGTCCCGGGCTTCCGCAGCTTGGTCACCCACCTGGAACGAAGCTCCCCGCCGGCCCCCGGCTGCCCAGCCCAGAGCCTTGTGGGGAGTATGACTCACTTCGTGGGGGGCCATTGTGGCTAATGTTTAACTCTGCCCCTCCTTCAGCAAGGCACTTTAGCCCCAGCAGCCCTGAGCGCTGGGCCCTGCCCTGATCATGCCTGCTGCTGAGTGGGCTCAGACACACAGCTGAGCTTGGCCTCCTTGCCCTGTGGGGACTGGCCACCTTGTGGAGAAAGGTGGGGGCAACAGCTGGTCCCCCAAGGGCTCTGGGACAGGCAAGGGTGTAGCAGGTGGCATCCTGCCCTGGTCATTCCTACCAAGCAGAGAGGAGCACCAGGCCCATCTCCACCAGCTGCAGAGAGAGGGGATGCCCACCCAGCTATTGTGTGCTGATTAATAACAGATATCCCCCAAGTAGCACCCATCCCTCTACCCTCAGCCTGGGCCCCATGTTGCAAGAAGGCCTCACCTTAGCCCATTTGGATGTCACTTGCACCTCCTTTGAATGTTTCCCCTTCACTAGGGATGTGGGGACTCTCCGGGTGCATATGCAGGACCCTTAACCCCCAGCTGTGTCCTTCCAAGAAAGTGGCTGGTTGGGCTTTGTTAAGGCCAGTCTGTTCTCAGAAAAGGGCAACCCCAAGGCAGAGTGACCTGGGATCCGGTCTCCAGTCTGCAGCTAGCAAACCCTGCAACTTAGAGTGAGCTACTTGAACTCTCCAGGCCTCCATTTCCTCATCTGTAAATTTGAGCTAACAAATGTACCATTTTTGTGAGAATGCAATTATATAATTCAGATAAAGCATTTAACATCACATATTACTATTATTGAAATGCTGTTATTAAAATAGTCAATAACAGTATGGATTCTAACAGACTTCTTGGGTTGAATCCTGGGCCCACCACTTATTAGCTGTGTGATCATGAAAAGTCCCTAACCTCTCTGTGCCTCAGTTTTCCCCACTGTACTATGAGAATAGTAGCCGTACCTTTCTCCTAGGGTTGTTGTGAAGGTTAAATGAATGAAGGTGCACATGCTGGTGCCTGACACATAAGTGTGCTACATGTGTGAGCTGTTACTCAGTGGCTGGCCCCAGCTCCCAGCCCTACTGGCGTTGTGTCCAGGCTGGGTGGTGTCGACCCTTCATGGTAAGAGAGGACTGGAGTAGAATCAGGGCTCTCCAGAGGCCAGGCCTCTCACCCTCAGGCCGCATTCTTGGCTACAACAGACACTTCCATAGATCCCTCTCCCACCCACAAGCTCTCCTTCCCCTTGTCCACGGGGCCTCTCAATCCTTGCGCTCTGGATGTGTCTATGCCTATATTTGCTCTTGCTCCATCCTCATAGGAGATGAATTAGGTCTGTTCCTGCCTGGAAGCAGAAGGAGGAACCCGATGACCTCCAGGAACTCTCTGGTTGGCTCTTCTGCCCCTCCTAGAGGGCCACAGGCTTAGGTGTGTTGAGTGGGCCCCACCTCCTCCTCCTCCCACAGGCCTTCTGCACCCACGTGTTTGCTTTGAGTCAGGCCCAGAGCAGGTCTCCTGCCTTTACATGACTGGGTGGATACCCCAATCTGCCAGGGCCCCAGGTTAATAGTTGACTGCAAAACTGGGATTTGACTCTGGAACTTGGGGCCAGGCTCTAGGGAAGGGCTGGGAAAGGTGAAACAAGGAGACTGCTTTGGACCCAGGCCAACCGGAGGAAAGCCCTGTAAGGCGGGGAAGAGTGGGTTTCTGTGGCCGCCTGGGCATGAAGGCATGAAGCCTAACCCCATCCTCTGTGGCCTGGACCAGCCCTGTCAGGTTCTCCAACTTCATGCATTGAGACTGGGTGTGTCTGTGCCTACAGGTTTGTGTGTGTGATTGGGGTTGTGCTTTTTGCACACATCTGCCTCTCTGACCACTGACCTATTTATAGCAAGAACCCTGGGCAGATTGCTGCTTCCCCTAAGGTAGCCCAAGTTGCTGGTTCCCACTGCCATGTTTTCTGAAAGGGGCTGGCAGGCCAGCAGCCCACGGAGCCAGACCATGCCCCAGGGAGTAGCTGGCACTGCACTTTGTACCAATTCCTGGCATTTATGGCAGATAATACATGGGATTTGAGGGCAGAATGGGGACTCAGTAGGGTGGGTGGAAGGATTACTGCTCTGATAACTCAGCCCCTCCTGGGGCCAGTGCTGCGGTGGTCAAAAAGCCAAGGGACCCTAGATCTGGGACCAGCCACTTCCCTTGCAGGCTTAGCTTAGAAGTCACTATCCCACTGCCCTGAAAAGTCAGAACTTGACCAGACACGGTGGCTCACGCCTGTAATCCCAGTACTTTGGGAGGCCAAGGTGGGCGGATCACGAGTTCAGGAGTTCAAGACCAGCCTGACCAACATGGTGAAACCCTGTCTCTATTAAAAATACAAAAATTAGCCGGGTGTGGTGGCACACACCTGTAATCCCAGCTACTCAGGAGGTTGAGGCAGGAGAATCGCTTGAACCTGGGAGGCGGAGGTTGCAGTGAGTCGAGATCATGTCACTGCACTCCAGTCTGGGTGACAGAGCGAGACTCCATCTCAAAAAAAGAAAAAAGAAAAAAAGGAAAGTCAGAACTTTGCTCTCTGCTTCACAGGAGCCTCTCTCACAAGTATGATGGGGGAAGAGGGGCTGCCCCAGACCCCCACTCCACCCCAGCATGCCCTATGCCCTCACCAGGGTTTGGACCCAGAAGTGAGTGGGATGGAGAAAGGACCTGAGCCAGAGGACAGATAAGTGGCCGCCCCCCCCCCCGGGAAAGAATCAGTCCTGGGGGATAGGACCAGTACAGGAGTGTGAAGGGGAAACAATTGGGAGGAGGGTGAGTGAAAGTGGGGAGAGCAGAGGCAGGAGGGACAGGAGTGCTCAGGACAGAAGGAAGGAGTCACCTGGTGGCCAGGCCTGGAACTGCAAGTTTCTCTTCTGTGAGGCCTCCTGCCCTGTGCAGCTGGACTAGGTGAGGGATTGAAAGTGCCCTGACCTCTCAGCCCGGAGCAGTCAGGTACACCCAGCAGACATCAGGGAGAGTTAATCTAGCTTTGCAGAGGAAGGAGAGTATGAAATCCGGCAGGAGAAGCGGCTCTGAATGGAGAGGCCTCTTCTGATGGCCAGAGTCAGGGGCAGGACGGGGTCAGTTCTCGGAGATCAGGGCTCTGGTGAGCCGAGCATCCTGGGTGGTGAGTGTGTGCTGTGTGACATCACAGGGACTCGGCAGAAGGGGCCCCAGGGGACCCTGGCAAGCAGCCACCAATTCCTTAGCCCTCCCTTCAGATCCTGGACTGTGGACTGCAGACAGGCTGACTGGAGCCCAGCACAGCCCTCTCTTCACAAGCCCCAAGTCTTCCCTTTCTTCTCCGTGCTCACAGTCAGAGCTGCAGAAATGACCAGGAAACTGGGTTTTTAATGAAGATGGCTGTGGACACTGTACACACATAGAAGGGGTGTGGCACAGGGCTAGAGGAAAGGTGCTCTCACTCCCTCCTCGTCCTTCACCTGTTACACCACAGGGTAGCTGGGAAGCCCCAAGTGCCTCATGGATGGGTGGGAGCCCACCCTGCTGGGGTGAGGTCTTCAGACACTCTCGTTTGTCCTGCCTCTTGGATATCTCTTTAATCCCAGTTCCAGAGGAGGGCATGCAGGCTGGAGGGAAGAAGTGAGGGGGGAGGTGGGAAGGGATGCTCCAGACACGGGCAGAGAAGTGAGTGAGCTGGGTTGGAGAAGAAGCATGAAGCAGGAGCTCAGAGCGCAGCACAGCAAGCTGGCCTGTAGGGACAAAGAGGCGAAGCCATCAGTTCCCGGGGACCTGTGTGCAGTGCATGAATCCCTGACTTACCTACAGCACATGCAGTCTCCAGGGCTTCTCACCCCTAGCGCACCCCTGGCTGGATCTTCATTCATAGGGGCTCCTACAAGACCTCAGCTTCTCAGCCCACAGGCACAGTTTCTCCCCTTTTGGGACCCCTCACACTGCTCCTCCGCACTGCGGCCCTCAGCTCTTACCTGGCCTTGCCATGCTACTCTGTGGGTGGTTAATTCCCACCTCCATGCTTCTGTTGCACCATCAGCCCTTTAACGTGCCCTTCCCTTTATCAGCTAACACTTGCCCATCACGTCCTCAGAGAGCTCCTCCTCTCCAGAAAGCCTGCTCCGACCAGTGCTATCTGGTGGATGCCTGCCCTATTGCACATTCTCTCAGCACTTCCACAGACGGTTTTATGTGGCCTGATTTCCTTGCTTGGCCCAGTTTCTCCAGCTTTTTCCTCAGAGAGTGGCAAGTGTTAGCTTCTCTGAGTGGTAGCTCCTTGGGAACAGGTGCTGTGAGTGCTGGGTACTTCGCAGGGAGCACAAATAAAGGACATCACCAGGAGGTATTTAAAAGAGTATAGATTCTCAGAAAGTCAGAGATGAAGGGACCCCAAGGATCCTCTAACCTAGTGGTTCTGAAACTCTCCATGTGCATCAGAATCACCTGGAAGGCTGGTCTCACCCCAGAGTTTCCAATTTAGTGGACCTGGGGTGGGGGGTGATCATTTGCATCCCAGGTGATGTAGATGCTGCTGGTCCCGGGACCACACCTGGAGAACCACTGATTTAACACAGCCCCCAATTTCATAGAGGAGGGGAACAAAAAGGGCCCCCAAACAGAAATGACATGCCCAAGGTATCACGGTGCTGGAGCCAGGACTGAGCCCAGGAGAGCCGACTCAAATCAGTCTCATCAGTGCCTTTGTCCCTGCACCACACTGAGTACAACCTGCCTGCCCATCGTGGACTCCCTCATTATCCTCTAGACTCTGATGGACCCCAGAGAAGGGAGCTGATCTCTAGGTACCTCTATTGTGAGGTCGGAGACTTGGCAGCATCAAACATCTTCTTCCGGCCTTCCATGCCAGACATGGCCTCCACATTCTTCCTCCAGTCACCCACCTCCACAGGCCGCTCCTGTGGACAAGTGGCACACACATCAGGGACTTACCAGGCTGGATGCCCCCCCCAGCTCAAGAGAAGTTGGGTGATAGAAAACCAGTCTCCTCAGATGATAAGAAATCCCAATGCCCCTCCCCAGCTGTTTAAGTCCTAGGACTCAGCCAGGCAGGTGGACACGGGCCAAGCCGAGGCCCCACAGGAAGCTGTGTGGCTTGGGAGCACTGGGTGATAGTGGCAGCTACGGGGCTAGTTCCCACCTCAATGCACCTGAGCAAAACCTCCTCCCAGGCCCCATGCCACCCTCCTGGTCTGGCACTCTGCAGGCTCAAGGCCACCTCTTCCAAGAAGCCTTCCCCTGCGAATGTGACTGCTTTTCCATTTCCTCAGTATACTGCCTGGCTTATCTCTTGTCCTCTGAAGCTTCTTGGGCCAGAGACTATGTTCCTGTCATCCCTGTTCCTTACAGAGCCTATCAATTTGGGGCACATATACTGTGAGTTCAACCAACTTTGAATAATTTGTTGCTGGGTGGTTGAACTCAGTTCTCTAACGTCTGTGCTCGTGTGTGGCTATCACCAAGATGAGCTGCTGTCTCCTTTCCCTGTGGTGACCAGGCAGTCACCTCCAACATTACCCTATATCTCCACGTTCTCTTCACACTGGGAACAAGATTTTTGCTTCATGTCTCAGTCTGGGGTCTAGCTTTCTTTATGTCCTAGTTTCTTCATCAGACTGGGAACAGCCTGAAGGAAGGGAGCAAGTCTTTCTTTCTTCCCACACTGGTCTTCCAAAACATTCTAGAACATTCTCTCTGTCAAGCTGACTGGCCTCCAACAGGAGCTCCTGGGCCTGCCTGAGGCCATGTGAGGGGTTGACAAGGGGAAAGCTGGTAGGGAAGAGGGTGGAAGGTTCTGAGGAAAGGGACCTCACCTTCTCTGTGTCTTCCTTCTTCACAGACTTGAGGTTGGCCCGCAGATCCATGGACACCTTGTGCTTGGAACCCAGCAGGGCCCGGAGCATGGCATCAGCCGAGACACGGACCCGACGCAGGGGCGGGCGCTTGAACTTCCCACGGAGGTCCATCACCTTCAGCTTCAGGTCCTTAATCTGCAGGTGAGAAGCGCCCGGGGCTCACTGGAGAGGGAGCTAGCCACAGGGCACCCTTCCTAAGGACCTCAGATTGCTAGGGTTCCAGCCAGAGATACACCTTAATTTGTCCACCCTTGAAGCCAGACCTATCAGCAGTCACCAGCCTTTTCGTCACCAGGGACTGGTTTTGTGGAAGACGCTTTTTCCACGGAGAGGTGGTGGGGTGGTTTCAGGATAAAACTGTTCCACCTCAGACCATCAGGCATGAGTTTGATTCTCATAAGGAGTATGCAACCTAGATTCCTCGCGTGCACAGTTCACAATAGGGTTCACACTCCTGTGAGAATCTAATGCCACTGCTGATCTGACAGGAGGCAGAGCTCGGGTGGGAATGCTCACTCACCCACTGCTCACCTCCTGCTGTGCAGCCCAGTTCCTAACAGGCCACGGATTAGTACTGGTCCACAGCCCAAGAGTTGGAGACCCTGCTCTAGGACAGTCAGACCCACCCACCCCTTTGCAAATAGCCACTGCACATTTGCTGATAAATGGATAGTTAATCAGATAGATAAAGCCTATTAGCCATTGCTAATACTGTAACCTTGAATAAAAGGGGTAGCTCCACCAGACTGAGACTTGTCTGGTTTGGAAGCCCTATTTGGAGTGCAGGGTTGCTTCCTTTTGTTCCTGTAGCCTCATCCCTGCTTCTAACTTATTCCTCCCCAGTAAGCCTTCAAAGCAGCTCACAGCCTTGGTCCAGCAGGGTGATAAACTTCCAGGTCCTAGACCCCTGGAGGAATTTCCAGGGTGTGATCTCTAGAGGGAATTCTTAGGAGCTTGGTGATCCCACATATCATTCCCGGTGGGCAGAAGTGGGAAGGAGGGAAGTGACTTGTGCTACCTCCCTGCCCCCTCCTCACTGCTTGGACAAATGACCCAAAGGAGCCCTGTCCTTCCCTGTTCTACCCCACCCCACTGGAGCAGGGTCTGGATGGAGTTAATCCTCCCACACTCCATGCTAAGGGAGCACAGAGTACCGAAGTGGGAGCCAGAGACCAGCACTGGTCCCAGGACCACCACTGTGCAACCTAGGACAAGTCCTTGGCCTCTCTGATCCTGAGTGTTCTCCTCTGCAAGGTGCAAATAGCCCCTACTTCATCCACAGGCCTATAGGGAGGATCAAAGGCTATAACACACATGAAAGCACTTCACAAAGGTAAGACGTTATTAACAGGCATATGATTATTTGTGTGGGTGGATAAAGAGAGCGGCTTCTGTTAGGCTGATGAGCCCACATGGCAGGTAGGGAGGAAGTTTGTACTTTTCATGTGTGATTATCCACTCTGCCCATCTCCAGATCTCCAGCCCTATGGGGCTAAGGCGGAGAAACCAAAGGTTCCTGCTTAAGTGGCCCCTTCCAGGCCCTGTGGAAGGAGGGGACCTCCCGTGGCTGCTGCATCCGTGCCCATGCCCCTGCCTAGCCCACCCTGGCCATGCCCCTTCCCTTCCTTAGACTCACCTCCCTGGTGTTGTGGAGACATTTGGCCTCAATGTCGTATCGCTCCTCATCCACCACCTCTACCTTGGCATGCAGCTCCCGGCACAGGTCCTGGGGGCGGCAGATGGATCAGGCAGGCGCGAAGAAGAGCGGAACAGAGCCATCAGTTTCCAGCCCTTGACCCTCTCCCCAGGCCCTTTGCAAGACCTGGGATCCAGAGAGGAGCTGACAGTTTCCTCCACTCTGAGGCTCATGACAGGCAATAGCTCAAAGGGTATGCCCTCTGTTCTCCTGTCTATATGTCGTGCTTTCTTAAAAACAGTATTCCTTTGCTTGAACCCAGGAGGCAGAGGTTGCAATGAGCTAAGATCACACCACTGCACTCCAGCCTGGCGACAGACTGAGACTCCATCTCAAAAAAAAAAAAAAAAAAAAAAAACCAACACCACCACCAACCACAACAAAACAGTATTCTTGGCTGGGCATGGTGGCTCATCCCTGTAATCCCAGCACTTTGGGAGGCCAAGACGGGTGGATCACCTGAGGTCAGGAGTTCAAGACCAGCCTGACCAATATGGTGAAACCCCGTCTCTACTAAAACTACAAAAATTAGCCAGGCATGGTGGCACACACCTGTAGTCCCAGCTACTCAGGAAGCTGAGACAGGAGAATGGCTTGAACATGGGAAGTGGAGGTTGCAGTGAGCCGAGATTACACCATTGCACTCCAGCCTGGGCAACAGAGTGAGACTCTGTCTCAAAAAAAAAAGTATTCTTTCATCATGGCTTATTGCAGCCTCAACCTCCTGGGCTCAAGTGATCCTCCCATCTCATTGTTTTAACTTTTTATAGAGACAAGGTCTCACTTTCACTATGTTGCCCAGGCTGGTCTCAAACTCCGGGGTTCAAGTGATTCTCCCGCCTCAGCCTCTCAAAATGCTAGGGTCACAGGCATGAGCCACTGTGCCCAGCAAAATAAAATAGTTTTCTTATGATTAAAGTAATGTTTTAATTTTAGACATTTTGAAAACTATGTATTAAACATAATACAAAAATAATAAAAATTAAAATACCTAGTGATGCCACCACCCAGGGATACTTAGTAACATTTTGATGTATTTCCTTCCAGTCTCTTTTCTCTGTAATCACTGGCATTTAAATAATTTCCCAGTGTTCTGAAAACGTTAAAGACCAAGCTCTAAGAAAGGATAGACAAGTCCTTGGAGAAGTGGGGCTTCTCCAAACCCTGGCCGCCTCCCCATTCCATGCCATCACCCTGACTGCTTGTGAAACTGGGCCCCTGGCTCCGCCCAGCCCAGGCAAGTCACGCCTCCCCTCTAAGGCTCAGTTCAGTGCCTGTAAAATGGAATCTAATGTTCCTACCTCACAGGTGGTTGTGGAGATTAAATGAGACCATGGAAGTCAGCAGTGCCCTGTAAATTATGGAACCTTGAGCTAGTGTTAGTTCAGGCTCTTGCTGCCTGGTCCCTGGAGCCACCCACATAGTGCCTCCAACCCCATCCTGCCCTGCCGCACCTGCTGGGCTCACCTGCAGGGCACTGAGGGACAGGCCACGCGTCTGCAGTGTGGGGATGCGCTCTGCCAGGTAGCGCACCTTCTCAGCCTCGCGCTCCTCATGCTCCTGCTCCCAGCATTCCTTGGCCTTGGCCAGCATCAGGCTCTGGACAGAACAAACCTGCTGAGCTGGGGGCCTCGCATCTCCCACCCGGCATCAGGGAATGAGGCGAGGACAGGCCCAGGCTGGGCCAACTCTGAGACCACCGTCCAGTGTAGAAGTGTATGCAGCGGCCACGGACAGGCTGTGCGTGAGGGTACACCAAGTGGCCACACACAATGTTCCTGGAGTCCTGGAACTTGTTTTCCCCTGACAGTCTTCCTCTTACCCACTTACTGTCTGTTTTGACTCACAAAGCTCCAAAGAGAAAAACACATACGAGAATAAAGGAAGTCTCTCTGCCTGCACGAGTAGCTTCCCACTCTGAAGCTGGTCACCACCTACTCTAGGGACCCCAGGCGGGTGCCAGGATCCATACTCGAGGATCCCACCCACTGACCACCTGAGCCTGGCACTGGCTCCAGCAATGCTGGACTCCTTCTGCCCCTCATCATCCTCACTCTGGCCTCCTTCCTTTCTCCTTTCCATAACCCTCCACATCCCTTCAGAGTCGGCTCTCTGCCCCTCTGCCTCCCACTGGGCATCCCCCTGCAGCCAGCCCCCAGCCTCACCTTCAGCAAGAGTTTGCGGGAGGCAGTGATCTTGGGTTTTCTCTGTGAGCAAGAAGAGAGAGAGACAGGTGGTGAAGCAGAGGCTGCAGAACTGGAATTCTGGTCTAGGCCAAGACAAGTGCCAGCTAGGGTTCTCTGTCTTTATCCAGAATCCTCTGCTCACCCTGTGGTGCCTTAAAAGCTCATCTTTGTGATTTAACCCCTGCAGTTCAGACAAGGCTGCAGTCAGCTACCTTGACCTAGGGGTTGAAGCCTTAACTTCCCACTCTGATTCTGCTGCTGCTGAAATCTTGTAAGATACTATGAGGGTCACATGGCTTCTACAGGCACCTCTTTCCTCATCTGTAAATAAGGATATTATGACCCCCCCTTGCTTAGTTCACAGAGTTATTGCAGATGAAATGAGATCGTGGATGTGCAAATCCTTTGAAAAGCATAAAAGCTATGTATGTTTTCACACTCCAGGTAGTAATACAGCAATACCTTGATGATCCGTCATGCTGCATAAATAAGCTGTGAATTTCCCAAATAAATGAAATGTATCTATGTAGACCTCAAAACTTTTAAAAATGTTAACATTACCCATACAAATCTTCCTAAGATATAAAACCACTGTTTTATCTTCTTATCAAAAATCCTAAACATGTTGTTGCTTACTAGTCCTAGCCCTGTGACAGTGGTGCCTCAGGGGTGGCAAAGGTGAGTAGGGCTGCTTGGCCCCCAACTAATGAGACTGTGATGCCTTTCGAGCACTAGTATCTCTTCCGGGCCATAGGTGGTCACTTCTCATTGCCAGCAGGAAGCATCCTACCTAGACTTAATGTGCTGCAAGCTGGGAGAGCATGGCTCTCCAATGTTATTCCAGGGTGTAAAGTAGAAGTGATTAGGCTTTGAGAGGGAAGTTCTCATGAGAGACAATGGATGAGTTTCAGCAAATGGAATGTGTAACTTCTATTCTGACTGTTCAGAGTGGTTTGTTTGTCTTTTCCTCTCCTAAAGATTTTTGTTACATTTCAGATAAGTGTGATTTCAAAAGAAAGAGCCTATGACTCTAAGCATTACCTCCACAGTTTACACACCGTAATGTACACATGGCAAATGTTTTACTGCTATCTTGTTTCCCCACCACTTGGTGAGTGAGCTGATGGTCACCTCATCTGACCATCAGTCAGTGAGGACTCACTTTAATACGAGCCTTAGCAAAACTTCAACATTCATATGAATGTTCAAAAGTAACATTTTCAATTCTTTCCGAGAATCTCTGTGCCAAATGTCCCCTCCATCAATACCGCTAATTCGCACTGTTGCCATCCCTGAGTCCCCATTCCTATCCCTGCCATCCCCATCCTTGGACTGTATATAGGCTGTGATCTCAGCAGCCTGTTAAGTCTGGAGTGTATAGAATGGCCAGTGTCAGGATTATCTAACACCTGAGGGATTTAAGGACATCTCTTTGCTCCTCGCTCAATGTTCAGCCACTGGGCAAGAGTGGAATAACCCAATGACTATCCCTTACCCCTCAAATATAGCTTTGCACAGGATCAGCTTTGCATGGAATAGGGTGGTCCCCCCAGGACTGGACCAGCTCTCAGAGTGGGTGAGGAAGAGCTTGTGCTCAGCAAAGATGCAGAGTCACACCCAGCCCTGCTGCAGTACCAGTCCCAGGACAACCTTCCAGTGACATTGTACACTGGCACAGCAACTCCCTGGACACTAGGAAACCCCACATCCAGAATCTTCGCCTGATGTTTCCATCTCCTGGGAATTTGTTCAGCCACTAAATACCCTACACCTCCCAGACTCCCACCAGGGCTTAATACAAGCTCTCCCCTCTCCTCAGATGCCAACCCCACCTTCCCACCTTTACCAGTCAGAAGAGTTAACCAGGACAGAGATACCCCAAATACCACTTACCTCGCTTCAGGCATCCATCACAGGAAGGACAGGGAAAGAGCAGAACACAGAGTGAGTATGAACAATGAGGATTACATGTGCGGCCGCAGAACCTCGCAGACCAGCTTGGGGAAGGAGGGGGCCGCTGACAACAGTGAGCCAGAGAGTCATCAGGCATCAGGCAGGGGGAGAAGTTCGAGGTTCCGGCAGAACAGAATAAAAACTCAACAGCCCTTTGAACTACCGGGCATTCTTATTGGGAGGTACTGGGCATGGTAAGTTGGGGAGAAGTGGTGGAAGGGGAGGGAAGCCTTAGGGTAGGGTTCCAGTAACATGAAAGCATCCATCCATGGGTGTGTGGGTAAATTCCCAAAGCTTTGTTCACCTACTGTGTCAGTGTTAAGTGGTGGCCTGGTACACGCAATTCACGTGTTAGATCAAGACAGGAAAACTCTGAGGCACAGGCCAAAAAGGCGCTCCCAGGGCAACCTGAGAGTGAGTTCTGCTCAATGGCTGGGAGGACACAGGCAGCACGGGGCAGACCATCAAGTGCTGTCCCTGTTTGAGGACCTGGTCTCTTAGGGGAAAGCTTTGGGGGTTGAAAACACGGTGCCTCCACTGTGGGGCTGAAGTCTGTGGCAAAGGGACTTGCCTTCCTGGGGCCCCAGATGGCAGTGAGACTACTTACACTTCCGGCATGGTGGCAGTGGGACAGCACCTGGGGGCACAGAGGAACAGTTCATGAGGGAAAGTAGAAACCCCTGCCGCCAACCCAGCTGCGCCTTGGGAGCCCAGCCTAGGAGACAGAGTCAGAATACAAAAGGAAGAAATCAGACACACTGGATTCCAGCAGGTCAAGATGGGACAGGGTTGCAGGGCAGGGGTCAGCCAACTACAGCTCAGAAGCCTAACCTGGCCCCCCGCCTGTTTTTACTTAAAGAGTTGCAAGATTTTTTTTTTTTTTTAAGAATTTGCAACAGAAACCTTATGTGAGCTACAAAGCTATCTGGACCTTTCCAGATAAAGCTTGCTAAGCCCGGTGGAGAACAGAATGGAGTCCATAGGAAATATGCTTGGGAAGTGAGAGCAGCCAGGCACAGTGGCTCATGCCTGTAATCCCAGCACTTTGGGAGTCCGAAGTGGGCAGATCATGAGATCAGGAGTTCAAGACCAGCCTGGCCAATATGGTGAAACCCCATCTCTACTAATAATACAAAAATTAGCGAGCGTGGTGGTGCACGCCTGTAATCCCAGCTACTCAGGAGGCTGAGGCAGAAGAATTGCTTGAACCCAGGAGGCGGAGGTTGCAGTGAGCCGAGATCGTGCCACTGCACTCCAGCCTGGGTGACAGAATGAGTCTCCTTCTCAAAAAAAAAAAAAAAATTGAGATTGTAGCTCACTCTTGAGGGCCTTGAAGGACAGGCTGAGTTTAGATTTTATCCTGTGGATTAAGAGTGGTCATTGAGGCCGGGCGCGGTGGCTCAAGCCTGTAATCCCAGCACTTTGGGAGGCCGAGACGGGCGGATCACGAGGTCAGGAGATCGAGACCATCCTGGCTAACACGGTGAAACCCCGTCTCTACTAAAAATATAAAAAAATAAGCCGGGCGAGGTGGCGGGCGCCTGTAGTCCCAGCTACACGGGAGGCTGAGGCAGGAGAATGGCGGGAACCCGGGAGGCGGAGCTTGCAGTGAGCTGAGATCCGGCCACAGCACTCCAGCCTGGGCGACAGAGCGAGACTCAGTCTCAAAAAAAAAAAAAAAAGGGTGGTCATTGAAAAGCTCAGAGAGAGGAAGGCCTGGAAAGTGAATGAGCAGAGTGGATGCTGGAATACGGGTAGCTGCTATGTGGCACAACTCCATCCACAGATGGTAATACAACTGGCACCCCCAGGGTGGGGCAGTGAGAGGCCCTGAGTGGGGGAGGATAAGCCGCGAGGCAGGGCAAATCCTGTGTTCACCCAAGTCTGTCTTTCCCCATTCTGGGTTGGTTTTCCTCTCTGCAAAATTAGGGGTTAAATCAGTGGGTTTCCACTTGATGTTTATTATTAATTAATATTAATTAATTAAAATAATATTTAATTAATTTTATTTGGTTGAATCCTTTGTTCTAACCAAATCTTACTTGGAAGTAAAATAAATCCAATCAGTATAAGCAACATGGCATTTTGCCTATCAGAAGGTGGAGGGTGGGAGGAGGGAGAGGATCAGGAAAAATAACTAATGGATACGTCTCTCATATCTGAGTGATGAAATAATTGATACAACAAACCTCCATGACACATGTTTACCTGTGTAACAAACTTGCACATCCTGCACATGTACTCCTGAATTTAAAAATCAAACAAACAAAAAGAGCCAAATGGCACTGGTTGAAGGGGGTTACCATAGCAGCCCTGTGGTCTTCTGTGAGGATACTTGGCCATGGAGCACAATTTGAAGCCCCCTGACCAGGTGATCCTGAGGCCCAGGCCAAAGAGGGGGTCCATGAGGCTGCAGAGGGAGATGTTCCAAAGCCAGACATAATTCACCATCTTGCCTGGGCCTGGACACAGAGCATTCCAATGCCAGAGGAGGGAGGGACCGTGCAAAAGCTCAGGGAAACGAAGGGGACAGCTGAGGTGAGGAGCAGGTGTGCAGGGGCGCACAGAAACTCTGAGCCAGGCTGTGAGGTAAAGGGTGGGAGAGCCCAGTGTGTGTGTGTAGGGGAGGGCAGGCATGGAGCTCAGGGTCAGGAGTGTGGACTTGGTTCAAGAACCTGGTTGTGGGGTCTGGGAGGCAGGGAATTAAAGTACACTTGCAAAGTGCCTGCCAATAATTTCATCCCAGACCCACCCCTTCCTCTGCCCTAATTCTCTCCTTTCACTTTGTGCCCATGAAGCACTGTCCCAGCCCCAGTGAACATGCTTTGGCTACCTCCCCTGAATCTACCAGTGGATCAGAAAGCCTTCTGGGCCTCCCTCCACCTCTGCCTCCACCTCTGCCTCCACCACCAGGGGAGGGGAAGGCTCGGGTGGAGGAGATGGAGGGGTAGTGTGACCCCAGAGTCTCAGCTGTCATGCTGGGGTACAGAGGGAGGGGTATGGAGACAATCCATGAATTCCTGAGATGCTTGGCTGGAATTAGATTTTATAGGCAGCTGCTTATTCTGAGGGCTCTGCTTCTCCAAAGATGCTGAGGAAATCCAAAGGAAACACCAGCTGGCGAAGAGCCACCTCCAGGCCCCTCTGTCCATCATCAGCCTCCAGGAATGCCAGTGTCCAGAGGGCACCAGGTCTGTGTCTGTCTCCCTGGGATGTGCCTTGTCCTTGGTGGGCATTTGGCAGTGATCATGCCTCCCTCTCTCCCTCAGAGAGCCAACTGTCCCCAGTGTGGGGCCCTACCTGCCAAGGCCAATTTGCACCTCATGCCAAGCTCTGGGACCTGCCCCCAGCCTGCCTCACTGACAAATGCCAGACCAAGGGGTCCCACGTCAGGCAAGAGGCCTCAGCCTGTGCTCTGACACCCACCAGACGGGGGCCCTTGCCAGGCTCTGTGGAAGTCAAGCAAGGACTGATAAGTCAGGATGTAGATAGCACGGGAAGGCTTGGAGAGCCAGGATTCCATCTCCTCCACAAGTAGCAAGCAAGGAGATAATGAGAAAATCCTCCACCCACGGGAGGGAGCAAAGAGTCTCTGGTGGTTGCCTCAGAGCTGGGCTTTCCCTTTCTTGAGGCTCTGCAGCATGGCAGGGACTATCAACTAGACTATGAGATTAAGTCTGTGTGTGTAAATGTGTGTAAGTGACTGTGTGTGAGAGTGTGTGTGTATATATAGGGGAAAGAACTGATCTCTGCACACCCAATGATCACATCCACAAGTATCTAGTTAGGCTCATGTGCTTCCCCCTACTCCCCACCCCCTGACCTTGGAACCCCATTCAAGGGCATCCCTGTCTTCCTTGCCTGACGGTTAACACTCCCAAGCCCATGGTGCTGGGCTGCCTACCACACACCATACCCCCATCTTGAGCTCTGAACAGCAAAGCCTAATCTCAGAGTTGCTGTGGGACTGTGACTCCCAAACCCGGTGGTAGGTGCTGCCTTCAGCCCTCACCCAAGTCAGGGACTGCCACATGGCCTCCTGCCCCAAGCCTTGGGTTGCCCTGTGGATACTGTCCTGGCGTATGTGTTCACTGGCTCTTGTGCCTCAACCCAAAATGCTGCCACCATTGCCTTCCTCCAAGAGGACCCCCAGTATCTACTGCTGCTCCTCAGAGCCAGGAGCTCTGAGCAGGAGCGGTCAAGAGGGGTTGCCGGTCTGCCCTCCCCTGCTCTTGTGCTGCAGTACAGAGGGATGGGCAAAGGGAGCTAACAGCGTCGCTCAAAGACAAAGAACACAGAAGCAAGATAGTTTCCTTGCTCAGCAGGGGGCTCTGGCCCTGCCTTCTACGCTCCCTGGGAGTCCTGCACGCCAGGCACCCTCCTTCTCTTCCGCTGCAGGTATTGCTGACTTTGAGCGCTCACCCAGCTCTCTGATCCCAGGGCCACCCCTTCCCCTGGGTGCACTATCCCTCCCACACCCTGCTGGGCATCCTGTGTGAAAATGTCATCCCTTAGGCAGCCTTGGGGCTCCTAAGGAACCTCATGGAAGATTCTTCTCCTTGCTCCCAGCTTCCAAATTGCCAGGAAAAGTTTTCACCTCTCACAACAGTTTTGCAAGAGATAGGCCATTCTGTGGGACAAAATGCTGTGGGAGTATTTTAGGAATGTTCTACCAACAAACCAACTGTACAGGCAAGAAACGGTTTTCTCCAGCTCCAAGACCTCGCTTTCTCCTTAAACAAAAGCCCCAGGTTCTCTGCCTGGGATCAACCTAGATCTGAAGTCCTGGGCTGTAGGCGCTTACCTTGTTCAGTCCTCGTGGAGCTGGGCTGGCCTGTGCCTCGCTGTAGACCGCAGACTGTGAGGGGCAGAGCCGAGGGGAGGCTATGAAAACTGTAGCCAGCAGCAACTGGCCGGTAAAAATAGAACAGACCCACTGCCCCCTCCTGCTGCCCCTCCTCCCTTCCACCCCTCCCACCACACACACACACACACACACACACGCACACCTCACAGGGCAGATGCGTGCTGAGATACACACAACAGTCACACAGGCCAAAAGCCATGCGAGTTTGTGGCTCAGGAGCAGAGGCAAATTCTGTGCACATAGGTGCCACCGATTGAGTGAAACTAGCACCCACCTGGGGAGACTCAAGCTGCAGAAAGGGAAAGAACGAACAGCCAGACCAGGTGTGGGGACTGAACAGAGATGGGACCGGGAGGCGGAATGAGGGAGAGCAAGGGGCCACAGGGAAGGCCCAGAAGGGCAAGTAGCAGCTGGGGGAAGAGGACCATTGGGCTAACCCTGCATCTCTTATAAGGCATTATGGAAATGAGGCCCCCAAACCCATGCTCCAAAAGCCCAAGAGGGCTAAAGACTCAATTTTCCGGGATTTTTCGGTGGCTCGGGTGCACGTGGGATAGGAGAGTGCCTGGCTGTGGGGAGTGATGTGAGCAGTGTTGCAAGCTGACCCCAGTGAGTGTTTCCAGGGCTGAGCAGAACGGCAGTGGCAGCAGGGCCCACCTTTTCCGCTCAGGGAGGTCTGAGGGTCTGCAGACACTCTGCATGCCACTCCAGGTGGGTTTCCTGGAATCTAGATTTCCTGGGTTCCAAAAAACACCCAAGTTTCATGCCAGGAACTCAGTGAGACTAATTCACCTCTCCCCTGCCCTAATCTTCATCTCCAGCCAGAAGCCAACAGATCCCAGGGGACTGGAGCCACAGGGGCTGCACCTGTTTACTGGGTATTTTTAGGACAGTTGATGAACACATAATACCCACCCTATAGTCAGAGAAAGACAATGCCTGCTATGTTAATCCTGTGGCTATTATAGTGTGTCATCTCATGGGTTGGGGCAGGACACTGACCCTCTCGGAGGCCAGAGAGAGGCCTCGCAAGCAGGAGGTTAGGGAGTCCCAGCCATGCTCCCCATTTGGAGAGGGAGAGAGTAATGGGCAGGGGTGTCCTAAGGAGACACAACCCAGTGCCCACAGAGGTAAAGGCCCTGCCCTCTCTACACCGACATTCTGCTGCCTAATAGAGGTTGCTCTAATTCTGTTCTGGTCGGGTCAACTTTGAGAAGCCTCTATGCGAGAAAGCTGCCAGGAAGAAAGGACAGGGTCTAGGGAGACATGGGGGTTGGGGGCATAGGATTCCAAGTGGAGAGGCTGGAATGGATAATGGAGGTGGACTCCAGCCAAGAGGATCAGCCAGAGGGAGCAGGAATTCAGGGCCTTTGCAGATAAGCCTACTGGAGTTTATTGCCTCAGCTTATTATAATTTACACAATAATTTTCCTTTTATTTATATACTTTTTTTTTTTTTTTTGAGACAGAGTCTCGCTCTGTCACCCAGGCTAGAGTACAGGGGCGTGATCTTGGCTCACTGCAACCTCTACCTAGTGGGTTCAAGTGATTCTCCTGCCTCAGCCTCCTGAGTAGCTGGGACTACAGGTGCGCCACCATGCTTGGCTATTTTTTGCATTTTTAGTAGAGACAGGGTTTCACTATGTTGGCCAGGCTGATCTCAAACTCCTGGCCTTGAGCGATGCACCTGCCTCGGGCTCCCAAAGTGCTGGGATTACAGACATGAGCTACCATGACCAGCCTATACAATAACTTTCTTAAAAGACCTTGATATTCTCAAAAACTGAATTATCTGCATGAATTATCCTGCTTTTTGAAAAGGAAAAACAAAGAGCACAGGTCGATAAATAGAAGAACAAAGCAGGGTGAACACAAGCCAAGAAAGTAGGCAGCCAGATGTCCACAGCAAGATGTGGAGAACATAGCACAGCCAGGGGCCCTTCTTGGGCAGGAGCCACGGAGAATCTCAGACTCAGAGTTATTCATCTTCACACTCTGTTGGGCAGCATGGGGCCAGGACCCCTCACCCCAGTGTCCCAATTCCATCCCCACCATCCCTGCACACCACGTGGAATCCAGCCTCCAGCTCCCCCTCTGAGATCCACCATGACCTTCGGCCCCAGTTCACACACTGACTTCTCCAGCATCTCTCTCCTGTCACTCAAAGGTGGCCTTCAAAAGCAAGCATGCCATGCCCTGTTGTCCTTGCTCCTGAGCCCCATCTTCCTTCATGTATGGAGTGGGTGCAGAGCAGGCCACAATGATCCAGGCCGCCCACACCCAGCTGAGGGGCCGCCACTGGAGGTCTCAGCCCTGCAGCCCACTCACTGCCCCAACCAACTGCGCCTCCGCAGCCTTTCTCCTCCCGCCCTTGCCTACAGAAAAGGTCACCCCTTCTCAGTGCACATCTGCCCTGGGGCCAGGTTTCCTATTCTCCCTGCAGAGCAGGCACAGCTGTACCAGAGCTGAGGTTCTGTCTGACACAGATGCTCACTGGTCAGGGAGGAGGACCCTTCCCAGACACAGAGCCAGAAAGAGTGCTCCTGGCCCTGGCCCTGGCCCCAGGCAGCACTGTTTGTGCTACGCTGAATAGTGGCCCTCATAGGTGCCTAGGCCCTAATGCAAATGTGAATCTGTTACCTTAGATGGCAAAGGGTCTTTGCAGATGTGATTACATTAAGACACTTGAGACGGGGAGATTATCCTGGATTATCTTGGTGGGCCCAATCTAATCGCAAGTGTCCTTCTCAGCTGAGTGAGTCATGAGAAGCAGGGTTGAGAGAAGGAAATGTGATGAAGGAAGCAGATGTCAGAAAAGATGCTATGCCGCTGGCCTTGACCATGGAGGGAGGTCATGAGCCAAGGAATGCAGGCAGCCTCTACAAGCCAAAAAAGGGACAGGGAACGGCTTCTCCCCTAAAGCCTGCAGGGGGAAGCAGGCCTCCCAACACCCTGCCTTGCAGCCCAGGGAGACTGACTTCAGACTTCTGCCCTCCAGAATGGTAAGATAATAAACTTGGGTTATTTGTGCTGACTTGTTACAGCAGCAATGAGAAGCTAATACATTCTTCAGTGCCTTGCTGGGCCCTGGACTTCATGGTTCCGGCTATGCTTGGGACTAGCCAGGAAAACGGTGATCCTGGGAGGGTCAGTGAAACAAACCAGCCCGGGTTTCAGAACAAGGCAGCCCTGAGGAAGAGTGGGCCAGAATCCAGCCCCACCAGGGCCTGCCTGGCCTTCCAGAAAGCCAGCTCTGATTTTGCCGAGAGCATCACAGGACACCAGAGCAGGAAGACTGTCCAGTCCAATCTGTGTGCCCGTGAGGAAACCCAGGCCCCCAGAGGGGAGGCCACAGGGTGAGGGGTCAGGTCTCCTAACTCCCAGCCCAGTGCTCTGTCATGCTGCCCACAAAGCAGAGACACTTCCCTAACCTTAACTTTAGCCCAATTCTAATCCTAACACTAACCCTCTTTTAACCCCAATATAATCCCTGTCCCTGTCTTTATCCCTAACCTACTAGAACCTTCACCTTCTTGCTCTCTACTCTCTTGCTTGGTTTACTGAGGTGACTGCTTGCCCTCTCAATCCATTCTGCACACAGCATGCAAAATGCTAAAACTGACCTTGTTCTAATTCCTAATCCAGCTTCATCTGCAAGCCCTACCCTAGACCACATGAGTTTCCCCTCCTGGCGTTGGCCCTAGCCTTATTGCAGGCCTTCTAGACACTAAGCTGAATTTAGGTTCACTGCAGAATTGACCCAGCTATGCAGCATCCTCTCTGAACCTTGGCTTCCTCATTTGTAAAATGGGTTAAGGGTGTGCAGAGACCTGAGGCTGAGCCTGACTTCCATGGGGTCCTCCTCCCTGGGACAAGGCTGGAGGCTTTCCTTTAGCCTCTTTTTCAAAATATTTTTTAATTTTTTATGGAGGTGGGGTCTCCTTACATTGCCTAGGTTGGTCTTGAACACCTGGGCACAAGCAAACCTCCTGTCTTGGCCTCCCAAAGTGCTGGGATTACAGTATGTCTGAGTGTGAGCCACCGTGTCTGAACCCCCTTAGCCTCTTTTAAAGTCCAGGAAGAGTCTGAGGCAAACTTGACAAGAATCCAGGCCTCAGGAGAATGGCCTCTGTGGTCAGTACCCTCTCAGATCTTCTGTGACTGCCCAGCTCAATGGAAATGGATGGAAGAATTGCCAGAAGGAGTGAGAACCAGAGCTGGCCAGATCGTGGGAGGAAGGGGCAAGTCCAAGAAAGAGGGACGGTGAGATGGGTGTCAGTGAGAGAAGGCCTGGAGGGATTTTCAGCCTCTAGTGCCACTGGCTTCCAGTGTCATCCTTGTCCCTCCCAGGGCTGGGGAGGCCACAGGGAAAGGGAAGGAAGTGTCTGGCCAGAGGAGCTAAGCCTTGTAAGGCCGTGGGTTGTGGAGTCAGGTCCCGCCACCTCAGAGGCTGACACCTGTCAGCCCTGGCTGCCCTGGCTTGGTTTGGGAAGCACAGAAGCCCAAATTAGCAAGTGACAAAGCCCAGACCATCTGTCTTCCCGGCGGCCCCTCCTGACACGGGCTCTCCCCCCACTACTCAGGGGCCTTCGCCTCAGTGACAGCCAACCCCACGCCCCTCCCCGCCTTCTCCACCCACCCCCTCTTAAGCCCATCATGGTTCCAAGGCCAGCTTTCTGTGACTGAGTTCTGAGAGGGGGCAGGGCTGGGGGCTGAGGAGACTAGAGCAGAAGGAACAAAGAAATCAAAAGGGTGTCACCCTCAATTTTTCACCACAAATCAGTCCCACATGAAAGTCTGTGGCATTAGAGACATAGCATAGTGAGGTGAGTCAACACGCGACTTTGGAAGCAGACAGCTCTGCCACTCACCAGGAACACTCACTAGTGAAGCTTAGCAGTGTATCCCTCCAAGCCTCCACTTCCTCATCTGTAAAATGGGGGTAATAATGGTGCCCACCTGGGGGG